AACAAACAAGGAACATGCACTCTGAAGGCCCATGAGCCAGGACTACCAGGAGCGAGGATGTCACAGATTGCAAGAAATGAAGGACTTGACTACGAAGAAAACTGGGAGATCTCATGCACATAAGAGTGGTGGGTGACCACAAAGAGGGGGGTTTCGCCTATGAGTCTTCGACTCTGATTGCGGCCCTTCCCTTTGATCGTGATGAGTGGGAATGGGTGAACGGGAAACCAATGCACATGTGGGATTACACTGTCAAAGGGGGCTACAGACAAACAACATCACATCCGACGATTGAGCCCGCCATCACTGCAAGATGGACGAGGGACTCGCCCATTGACCCGGGCCAAGTACAGAACCTGCCCTGGCACACGTACTCTAAGATCATGCCCGCCAATCTTAGGTCATTGTAATGGCAGATCCTGCACGGATGTCTCCCCACGCCAGATTGGCTGGTGTCCAGAACTAACTTGTAACAGAAAGGATTGTTAACCCCCATCTGTTCCTATTGTGGCAGAGCCTCACCCCCAGCCCGAGCAACACTTGAACTTTGCCTCTTGGCATGCCCAATGGTTGCCCAGATTTGGTGGTGGTGGGATGCAGCCTTCCACTCCCTCACCAGCTACCACATCCCCTGGGATGTAGACCTGCTGTTGCTGGGAAGGAACAATCACATCCTAAGACATTGGCCTGCGTTTGCAGTCAACCTGTTCTCATACACAAGGCTCCACATGCTAATGCTGGCCTGGCGTGCAAGGTGCTCCTTCGAAAGGCAGGACCACCAGTTCGGACTGCAACAGCCCCAACAAGCATTGGAGGAGGCGATTAGAGCCCAGACACACGCAGCCTGGAAGGCCATGAAACATGAATACAGAGGCGAGAAGGAACCGCAGGCCAGACTGACCATCAGGGATACATATTTACAGACATGGCAGGAGCCTTTCAAGCTGTTCAGTGAGGTTGACGCCGAATTGAATATTATCTGGAAGCCCTGGAGAAGCATCGAGCACACATGGAGTAGGAAACCCTCTCAAACCCGTCCACCCATCCCCCCGGTCTCCCCACCTACACCTCTTCTCCCTCCCCAATCCAACCCCCGCGCCCCGTCCCCCTTACCCCAACCAGGAGCGACAGGATGAAGTCTACCAAAGTGTATGGTAGCCCACAAGGCCTTCACTTGCCAGATGCCAGCGAACCGAAGTACCCGACATTCACTGGACAACGGACAACACCCAAAGCCCACAACCTCGGCGACAACAGCATGACGCAAGTACATTTGGGGCCAATGCAGCAGACGGTCTCGTGGAGAAAGGACGGGGCAAGAGGAAGCTACGAAGTCTGTGGACTTGCTGGTTCAGGTGGTTTGGAGGTTTAGAGGACTTGGGAGTTGTATGACTTCAAAATAGAAAAATGAAGACAACCGGTTTCAGTGAATACGATAAAGAGGGGAAGGACGGACAGCATTGTAAGGCATTCCAGTATCCACTTCAGTTCTGGCCAGTGGTCGGGACTCACAGTCATTCGCCCTACAACTGCTCCCCACCAATAGATGGAGCCACCCCGGGACAGCTTGAGGCGACTGCTCCTACCAGCATCTCAAGCTGTCCCACGGGGTCTATTCTGCCAAAAAAAAAAAAAAAAAAAGGTTACAGAATGTTTTCAGACAGGGAGTGAATTGGGCCCTACCATCCTCAAGGCAGTATCCAGCCTGTGCACCTCTCTCTCTCTCTCTCTCTCTCTCTCTCTCTCTCTCTCTCTCTCTCTCTCTCTCTCTCTCTCTCTC